GGACTACAAGGTTGTTTCTGTTCAAAATTTTTCTAAGTTTTTGGGTACTCAAGAAACTACATACAGCAGCTTTAAAGTGGGTCAAATCAGTCCTAAGAAGTAGGCTTATTCTTGTTGGTAAACTGCTACTATATTTGTATCAGTGCACTTGGTAAATAAAAGTACACTAGTGGAAATATAGTACACTTAAGTATACTTAATGTATTTTAAGGAAACTATTAACTTACAAAGTCAATCAAGTTCAAGAGGGCAGCCAAGTAAACCCGCCATGGTTAATGATTTTACTTTGTTTTTTGTTTTGCTTCTAGCTAAGCAACTCTATTGAGCTAAAATTTGGCATTGTAGTAGCTGAGTCATCCTCAACACATATTCCAGCCACAAGTTCTCATGAAATTGCATGAGATCACATTTTTATCAATCGTTATTCTGTTCCTTCTCATCAGAAAATGATTTGAATCTAAGGATCTGGTTTGAAAAGTGATGGGCAATATTTTATTTTAAAATAATCCTTTCCTGTAGATCCTGGATTTCAGCCTTTTTATCAAAAACGTTTATTTGCTTTTTCAGAAGATACAAAAAAAACCTCGCTGATTAGAATTTGATCAAACGTGACAAAAATAAGTTTACGTTTGGTGTAGAGCTGCGTAGTTTTCTTTAAACGTTTAAAATAAATCTTTATGGGAAGACACAATGTCTCTTCTGATTTCATTTATGTTTTTCTTTATAATTTTTGGCCATTTGGTTATTTTTCCCATCTTGAAATCTATTTCCCAAGAATTCAATGTCTGTACCTTATCAATAAGTTGGGTAACCCTTTAATTAAAAAAAAAAGTTGTTTTTTCACTGCTCAATCTTGGTGCCTCTCCATATTTCTGTCACTTTTCTCATGCTCTTCAGTTGTGCTCAGAGATCAGGAGTTGAAGGAAGAAGAATAAACTCCATTCATTCCTGTCTATCCACTCTCCCCTCCGCCCACATCCTCCTGCAAACAACAAAAACCTCCTCACTCAGAAACACAACCAGTCTGGACTCTTTCCAAGGTTAAGTGGTGCTGGTCAAACCAAAACTGTGCATTCCAGTTAAAATTTTGGGTACTAAACCAATATGGGGCTTGGAAAAGAGTGAAAAGAAATGAGTTTTTATAGGGTTGGGCAAAATCCTACCGTGCATTTGTTCGTCAGGAAAAACTGTCAGCAAGTAATATTTGCAGCTTCGCAATTATTGAAATTAGTGCCATGTGATGACACAGATTTGTGTGCAATGCACTCACTATCAGGAGCACTTGTGAGCCTGTGGCATAAATGTGTTACGAAACATCTGCTGCCACTCCACGTTGTGGAAAAGGTGCATCAATTCACAGCTTATTAATATAACTTATGTTAGTTTGAAAGATGTGTCAGTACAATTTCAGAAACGTGCAAGTCCAATTGCCATCTAATAATCATCATATTAACTGTTATCAGCTAAATGCCACAATAATTTTGAGTAATTGTTTTGCCAATATCGCCCAACTCTAGTTTTAAGCAACTGTTTGAAATTCTTAGAGGTCTAAGCATATTTATTTATTTATTTATTTATTTTTACCTTAGTGTAGTAGTATGGTAGTGTGTGCGTGTGTGCATTTATGCATTTTATGTGTATATGTTTCGCTGCCGGGTGAAGGAGGGGAGCGTGGTATAAAAGGCCACTGGGCGCAGTCTGATGGATCATTTCCTCTTTCACTATTTATTTATTTTGTTTTGTTTTGTTTCTTGTGTTCGGAGGGTGCTGTCTGACACTGCAGGCCCTGCTGGTAACCTCAGCCTTTTTTCTTTTTTTTTTGCTTGCTTAAGCAACATTCAGGTACATGCTTTTGTTTACCCTCATGACATCACAGGCTATTCTAATTCAAAACACATTCAAGGAATATGTATGAGACAAAGCACTTCTACCTGTAAAGGTGTTAAGTTCAAACCACCCATTCATCGAATAAGTAAATCAAACACTTTTTGATGCATTTAATTTGCAAAATGAGACTAAATGCATTTCTCAGCGCAATTTAAAATTCTAGTAAATGTGAGCACTTTTAGACAGTGTTTATGGAGGTTCGTCAAAGGAAGGAAAACAGTCACAGATGTCATTTGAATGCACCGTCGTGTGTTTTTGTCACGCTACCGCAACACGTAGTTTTAAATGTTTTTGCCAACAGAAAACAGGATCACATCATACTCATAAGACAAATGCACTCTTTTAAAAAACACATGTTAACCAAAATTGTACACTTGAACGTATTTGTGTTGTAAAACTGGTAAAACTGTATGTGGAAGTATCCATCGGCAGATCAGAAGGTCTGAGTACAGAGACATGATCAGATAATAACAGTCACAACACATTCAACATGGATATTCCCCAAATTAACCGCTGTCTCCAAAGATTAGCCACGTGTTTGTATTTTGATTTAGAAACTAAAGCTAAATGTTTCATATCTCCTTAAACGTCATTCTGAAACGTGTCAACATGCAGACTGGTCTAAAAGAGCCGCTCTGAGGGAGTCTTTGGTATTAGTCTCAGCACAGAAAAGTCATTCTTATACAAAAATAAAACACAATCACAAAACAGACTTTACTAATAAAAAAAAGCTCACTCTTTATTTCAGGTTCTCAGCCTGGTAGTTTGGATCCACTAAAAGTCACACAGTGTTGATGGAAATAACTTGATAACAAAAATGGTAAAAGCAACTACTTTAAATTTAAAAAAGTAACATGGAATGTGTTGAGGCCTCAGCTTTTAAGGCAGGTAGGACATTCACAATCTGTATTCTTGCTGTAGCACCACTGTTGTTTCAATGAGGTCACTTCCTGTCTGTTGGTTGCTCACTTCCTCCTCCGGCCACAATAGTTACCCTGACAGCCTCCGCCTCTGTAGCCTCCAGATCCAAGTAAAGCTTGCATGGCTGCATATTTGGCTGCTTTTTGTGCCCTGGATTTTTGTCCAGTTCCAGCACCTCCTGGTCCGAAGCCACCAGTTTCAGCACCTCCTGGTCCGAAGCCACCAGTTCCAGCACCTCCTGGTCCGAAGCCACCAGTTCCAGCACCTCCTGGTCCGAAACCACCAATTCCAGCACCTCCAGGACCAATGCCACCAGTTCCAGTTTCCACCTGGACCATACCCTCCAGGCCCAAAGCTACCAGACCTAGCTCCTGCTCCTCCAGGACCAGTTGCTCCTCCTAAACCTAAAAATCAAAAAAATAAAATAAATCCTAAAATCAAATTGTATAGGTCCTCTGGACGGGTTCTTCTTGGAAGAAGAGACCTATACAATTTTTTTCCTTTTGATTTTTTACCTGGATTACTGAGATGCATCAGGATATCTAAAGTCTGAGGCACAGAAAAACTGTAGACCATCTCATCATCTGAAAGGACGTCTGCTCTGAAAGACCTTTGCTTAAAACTTTAGCACTAACTGCTGACGTTTGTAGCAAAATACCTCAAGAACCATTGGACAGTGATATGCATTTCTTCCAGGAACGCTAAGCTTCTATTAACCTTTATACAAGCAGGCGAATCCTTCTAATTAAATAAATGTTGAAACACCTTGTATAAAACCAGGGCAGCAAAGAATTACAAAACGTTGGCAAACATTACTAAATGGAGCAATTCAATTTCATTACACTGATTTCTAGAATACAAGACTGGATGACCGTAACTAAAGTTAAAGAACAGATCTTTGGGCTTCTGTGAAAAGGTATATTATCAGTTGTAGTTTTACACAAGAATTACATTTTGAACCTCGGTTTGCAGGTTTCGAGTGTAGACGAAACAAAACCCACATCAAAACTAAGTACCTTATCAACAAAGACAGTTTTTATTTAATCCACACCTTTTTTTTGGGGGTGGGGGTCAGATATGAGGAAAGTGCGCTCAGTTGAGGAGGTGATGGTGCACAGGGCAGCAGGCAGAGGGCAGCACAGGAGTGAGTGAAGACCGAAATGAATAGTGACAAGATTAACTTTGTTTTTACTCTCTCATTCATAAACAAACACTAATGAAAAACATCAGGGAAATGGTGAAACAGTATTTGATATTTATGACCTTTTACAAACCAAATACATGATCTGAGGATAAAAAATAGATTTTTTTGAAAAATCTTTGATATGATTCAATTTAGATCTTTTCATCAACTATCTCCATCTTCCATCCTCTCATTACAAAGCTACATTTTTGAAATTTCCTCACCCACAACCCAAACACACAAAAGAATCATCCAGCAAAGTCTAGCTCCCTCTCTCACACACACACAACAAACACAAAGCAACTCAGTTCATGACAACACAAAGTCCAGAAAAACCACACACACACACACATTGCTGATTGTTCAGATTCTCACTCAAAGGCATGGCCTGGAGTCTGAACACACACACTCGTAAAGTGCACATGTAGAAGTAAAGCTCAGAGAGATGGAAACATGGGAATGAATTCAGTTCCGGGAGGTTAAATAAATAACATTCACTGAGAAGCAGGTTATGAGCCACTGTTTAGACAGGTGGGAGTGTGTGTGTTTCGTTTCGGAGAACTCGGGATTTACACTTAAACTCAGGGTTTGTTTGACACTGTGGAGAAAAGCTGCTCAAAACTTCCTGTAACCTTGGGTCATTCCTCACATGAAAAAAGGCAATCCAGGTGAACAAAAGTAATTTTTTCCCATCTCATAATCATCAGGCAACTCACGCTTAATCCCAAAAATTAAATAAAATCTAAATCAGATCAGAATAAAGCACATATTGGTCAAAATATTTGACTTCAAATCAACTAAGGCAGATGAATAAAGCAAAAACAGAAGAGAAACAAAAGCAGCAAATGAAACAACAGGCACAAATAAAGGAGTGATGGTTTAAAAAAAAGGTCAACAGCCTCCAACATAAAGTCTCTTCCCCATCTTTCTAGAAAAAAAAAATCAGCTGGCAGCTTCCTTTTGGCACAGTTGAACACATGAACGGACAGAACTGACCACTGTTCTGCTGCCATCTAACGCCAGCTGCTGAAAACTGCGATCGGGTTGGAGTGTGTGATCGTCAGGAGTTCAGGGGACGAGTTTTACAAAACAACCCGATAAACAGGATTCGAGAGCAGCTGGCGGTCGAGTACTCCTCCCCACCCTGCATCCCATACTACAGTAAACGTAGCACACGTGGCAGTACAAGGCGAAGAAGAACATGAAGGATTCACGACACTTCCTTCAAATGAAATAAAATGTAAACAGAGTTGAGTTTGATGTTAGTCAGTGGTGTCGTGCGTTTCGTCTGGGAGGCAGAGCGACGTCAAGAGTTCAGGTGTCCGGCTGCCCCGACTGAGGAGGTGTTAGGGTGGAGGTGTGGTGAAGAGGCGACGGGCTCCTCCTCCTACTCGACTTTAACACCCATCTTCTCTGTGTTTAGTAAGTAGAGACTGTCGTCTATCAGGAAACTGGGAACAGAATGGAGCAAAGATGAGCTATTTCAACTCGTTTAACTTCATAAGACATACACCGAGTCAAAAGTTTTAGAACGCCCTCGTTTTTCAATTCGATATTCAAACAGCTTGAAAGTGTATAAAAGGTAAGTTAAAGCTTTTGACTGGTCGTATCAAAGCAACAGTTGACATTGTCTCTGACACACAGCCTGCAACGACAGCGGGACAAACCTGTAGAAAAGGAAGTGCACCGGGATGGTGCTAAGGTGCCAGACGGCGTGAGCGTCTAAGACCCAGAGCAGCGGGGGGAAGTCCATCAGCTCCAGGAGGGCCAGCCCGTGAAGCAGCAGCACCACCAGGCCACACTTCCACCAGTATGGGAGCGTCCGCCGGTTCTGCCAGCACCAACACAACCACCACAGGAGGTTCACCATGCCTTTGACGATGGGGGAATAAAAAAAAACATGGGTGGATGAGAAAGTCAAAAACTGTATGTTAGAAGAAGATTTGGTTGGTGGCTCATTGATCCAAGAGGGAAAATAAGTTCTAATGTTCTGAATGATACTGGGAAATGGGCTGTGCATTCTTGTTTTGTATTACACAGAATTAACATGTAATCTTGATGAAAACTTTACAAAACCTGCTATATAAACACATTCAGGTTTATGAACATTTATCCATCTATGATTATAAAAAAATGAGACAGAACTGTACAAATACACCCCAGATAATTAAATATTCCTGTAGTAGGAAATATGAATAACCAGGTTTTTTTTTTTTTTGCCTTTGATCAAACCTAAAATACAAATGATGCATTTAGTGCACACATTCCTTCTAGTAAATCATTTGTGATTTCTGGTTCAAATGGGACTTCAGGGAACATTTGAATACCGATGGTGACATTGGCAGCCATGTTGTAGCCGTAGTCGAAACTGACGAAGGTCAAGTAGGACACGTGTGACGTAAAGATCAAGATGAGGAAAACTCCCACCATACTGGATATTCCAGGCTGCCTCAGACCCAAAGTTCTGAAAGAAAAAATGACATCATTGTTTAGTTTTCTTTGACTTCTTAACAGTGGTAAGCAGGGCCGCAGCATATATTGAAAATTCATTGTCATCGCAATAACAGACTGTGCAATATGCATATCGCAAAAACGGCATAAAATGCAAAACAAATGGTTGGCTCAAAAGTTTGCAATGATGAGTTCTGTCACTCCGATAGAAGCTTGAAGTATTTCACCAATCAAATGGAGCACTTATGATTTGGTCAATTGGATGGATCTCTTCATAATTAAAAAATAATTCATGCTGGAATGGAAATTATTAGTTATTTTTTATTTGCTCTGAACCCAGAACAGAAAGAAATCAACACTACATACTTAAGTATTTGTTAATTTATCACAAGTCATATCATTATCAAAATATTGAGCAACGTTATCACACATCACAGGTCTTCCTAATATCGTGCAGCCCTTGTGGTGTTCCGCTCATCTGCTAACCCGCTAATAGCAGAACTAATATTTTGCATTAACTTTATAAATAAGTAACAGACATAACTCATGCTAAAATAATTTTGTTTACTTTCCCTGCTGCTAAAAATCATAATATTCACATCATGTTCTTGATAAAATCAATAGCATTTCCTTTCACATGCAACAGTGACATGCTGAATGCTGATCCAAAATGCTAACCTTAAATGCTATCCCAAAGCGAGCAAACCAATAATTAAACCTCACTGGATTATTACTTTACAGAAACTATTATCATTGCCAACAAAGATACAGTTAATTAAAGTACCAACAAGATTTGGCAAGATATGAATTCCATTTTGGATCTTATTTTCACAAATCGATCCTCCATATATGGCACATCTGGAGTTAAAAATACTTCAATCTCGGATCATTCACTTATTCATGTCATTAGAAAAAACCTTAAGAAACCTACAGGTCATGTGCATAATTTCATTAAAAGGATTCCAAAATCAAAGTTACCCATGTTTCATGCTGAGATTGAGAATACTAACTGGAATGAGGGTATTTCTCTGTCAAATCCAAATCACATTTTGTCAAATTTTTATGACAAGTTGGAGACAATACAGGAAAAACATATTTCAACTTGTAAAGTTCCAATCTGGAAAAATAAAATTCCATGGTTGAATGCCTTAAGAATACATCTCCTAAAGTTGAAAGCTTCTTCAATGAAAACTTATAGAATATCAAAAACTTCTGAAAATCGGTCTTGTTTAAACAGTTACCAAAATAAATGTGTTGCTGAATTACGCAAAGCCAAACAACAATATTTTAAAAATCTAATTATTTCAGCCAGTAAGAGTCCAAAAATATCATGGGAAACGATTAAGTCAGTGACAGGTGAAAGTAACAATAAAACATTTAATAACAATTCACAAATCTCAGTAAATGGACTTCTTGTTTCTGATCATGAAAAAATTGCTAACTTATTTAATTGTAGAGGTAACCCTGGTGAAAAAAAACTTTTCTATTGTTTTTTCTTTGTCTTTGATTTTAATTTTTACACTTATAA